CCTTCCCCGCCTCCAGCCCAGCCCGGCCACACCGAGAGCCACAGGCCGGCTGAGGGGCTCTTGGAGGCCCTGTCCAGTCCTGTGCCAGCCGGGGAGGAAGAGTCCCTAAGAATGCCTCTGAACTCCAGGGGATCTCCGTCTAGTCCCTGGTGCGCAACGACACCGTCCAGCTTTGTCCTCTAGCCATCGAGGGTATCCACTAGGAAACGGGGCTGTGGCACACACGTGGCCTCAGGGCGGGGGGGGCGTGTCCTGAGGAGCCAGGGGCTGCTCACCAGGGCATGAGGCGTCCGGACCCTGTCCTCCTGCTCCTGTTGATGAAGAACCCAGCCACGGGGTCCGCGGCTGCCCCAGACACCTTCCCCCCAAACAGGACGACTGACACCTGGGCGGCAGGGATCTGAAACGGACAGGGGAGGGTATGGACGGCCAAGGCCCCGCAGCCTCCGAGAGGGCGTTCAGGCCTGCCCAGCCACCAGGAGGGGGACCGGGAACCAGCTGGGACAGAACCCAGGTGGAAGGGGCACCTCGGCCTCCCCAGCCCCACACTGATCAGAAGGCGCTGAGGGGTAGGGAGGGAGATGACAGCTGCCCACTGGCACATTCCCATGCTGGCTCACGGCAGCCACCTCTGGAGAAGGCTCGCGGGACCCTCCTCTGGGGGGCTCAGAGCAAGGAGGGTGCACCTGAGCTGACAGACATTTCGTTTCTCAGTGAAAATGCTTCACTGGTTTTTCTGACTACAGAAATGATAAGCTCATTAGAAAAAACAATACAGGGAAATATTAAGCAAAGCTCATCTGAAACCCCATCATTCCGAGACAATGGCCAGAAGCATTTTGATGATCAGCCTTTCATGCATTTATCTGTGTCTGAAATTTATTTTATATAAATGAGATTCTATCACAATGTCATCTTAAAAAATCATGGATAGGCCAGGCATGGTGGCTCATGCCTATAACCCCAGCACTTTGGGAGGCCGAGGTGAGAGGACTGCCTGAGCCCACGGGTTCGAGACCCATCCGGGCAACTTGGTGAGACCTCATCTCTACAATAAATAAAAAAATTAGAGCCGGGCTCGGTGGCTCAGCCTGTAATCCCGTGCCTTTGGGAGGCTGAGGTGAGTGGAGTGCCTGAGCCCGCGGGTTCGAGACCCGCCTGGGCAACTTGGCGAGACCTCATCTCTACAATAAATCAAAAAATTAGCTGGGCGTGGTAGTGCCCGCCTGTAGTTCCAGCTACTTGGAAGGCTGAGGTGGAGGATCGCCGGAGCCCAGCAGTCGAGGCTGCGGTGGCTGG